AATCAATGCGTGACTTATCAAATGAAATAGGGGATTATGAGGTAATCACCTGACAAACGTTGCTGAAATTGTAATTATCTCCATCTCAGGGAGAAAAGACCAAACTAACTATTTAAGTGGAGGGTAAGGTAGTGAGGTACAGGAGAAACACCTCAGCTTTTTCTTTCTCATTCATGGATTGGGAGATGGGATGTCTGTGAGTTCACTCCAAAAACAAAATATTTACTTCATATTCTATTTTTGCATTAATAAAGAAAAAAAAAACACTTGTGAACTTTGCTGTTGTCCTGATTAAATGTGTCAGTGATTCCTTTATTTGTCCAGCTTTAAAAGAATACTGTGGTTGATTGATAATTAGCACAAACAGTATAGCTGGGGTTGGTTCAGTGAGAATAGTGTAAAATTTATCTTTGGAATTTTGAAGTAAAAATATTTATTCAAAAACTATTTATCTAGGTATAATGTTTTTACTTCATAGATTCTAAAATCGTTTTGAATATGTTCAATTACATTTAGTTTCATTTTTTGTCATTGTAATTTATTGTATTTTATGAATATTTATTTTTTAACATATAAAGTATTAACATTATGTTCACAATAAAGGCAAATTTACATTTAAAAATTTGAAACAATGAAAAACCCTACTGTGGTGAGCTAATATTTGACTTAAATGCATTTAAACATACAGAAAAGTAATAATGTAAAAGGTATTTATTATTATAAGTAAACCATATATTGTAAGTTACTTTTAGGGCTACAAATACACGTTATGGTATGAAAATAGAAACAAGCCAAAAATAAATAAATAAATAAACTCATTTGTTGATAAGGATTTCAACAGCATGAGTTGCAAATTCTTTCTTAAGTACAACATCGCCTCCAGATGGAAATACAACGCTATTACAAGGCAGGAGACATATTTCACCTTTTTGCTATTTTGCGCCATCTATTGGTAAGGTATTTTTATTGAAAATGGAAAAACATCTGGGTGCTTTTAGATGTGCCTCTGCTGCACCACACCTGAATAGAATAATTAGGTCATTAGCAAGGCTCTGGAGAACTTACCTACACAAGGTGGGGGTAATAAAGCCATTTCATTCCAGTGTTTTGTATCTCTGGCACATCTAAACACTACAGGACACTGGCCCTTGAGGACTGGAGTCTGATGCTCAAAAGACACACTTAAGGGTGTATTCATCTGAAGAACAGGAGAAAATGTCAGTTGACTTTCCAGTTCTCTCTTATAAATTAGGGTATTGTTTTAAAGCTACTTTTCTCCAAAATCTTCTCCCTGACTTGGCTGCTGTGTTCCTAGGACTTCATTATGCTGCTTATTCACTAATCCTCACCAGTGAACCCCTACGGCCTACAAAGAAGTGTTGGATTCATACTAAGTTTAAGTTAAACACAAAGGATCTAGATTTAATAACAAGGTGACTTTGAAGGGACTTGATTGCATAGGACTGTTTTAGGGGTATCAGAGTAAACAAGTATCTATACATGCGCACTTTTCAGATACTTACTTTTTGGCAATTGTGTCATTTTCCTTTCACTTCCCTTACTTTTGTGTTGGCTGGTCACTTAATATCCAAACAAATAGCTACATTTGTGAATGTAACATGGAAAAAATTAAAAACATTTTATGAAAAGTATATTGGTTGACTGATGATGTGGACCATGTTCTTAAACTAACACACAAAACCTTTAAAGCACCCAAAAAGTTTAAGACTAAAAAGATGGATGTGCGCTTTCTTTTCAAACACACACGTTGGCACAATAAATTTCCTTTAAAATACTTTAAAGTTTATTGTTTAAGATTTAGCTAGGATTGAAAACACACATCATACAATATCAATAATCATTTGACAGATTTAGTACACACATCAGTAACAATTAATTACAATATGCACAAGACGTTGAAAAATACATAACTAAAATATCAACATTGCAACACAAACCTGAGCAAAAGTAGAACAGTGACACCACCCTCTTACTGACAACTGAATTCTAATTGCAAACAGCAATGAAACCAAGTAGATGTAACTCTACCAGCATGTTCTCTGCATTCCCTGTGTTTAACTTGAAGTGTGACTGTGGGAAGCAGAGCTTAATAGATTCATCCTCAGCTTGGCCGAGTCGCACTTTGTCACCTTGCTGGTGTCTGTGATCACACCGCAACCTGTAGTTAAACTTCACGGGAGAATGCCAGCAGTTGTACTCTGCATGCTGCAGTCAGAGAATAATTACAAGATGACACGACACTGTGCAGGAATTAATTAATTATTTAATTTTCTTGTCTTGCTATGAGAGTACGTTTGTAATGATGTTGTGTATGCAAAATAATGTATATTTTGGTTATTTTGAACAGTATATTGAACAGACATTTGTCCAATGACAAAAGACCTGTGTCCTTGTCTTTAAGGCCTGTTTGAGATATATAAATAAATGAAACTGAAATCAAATGCTCAGAAATTAAAACAGAAGTATGTTCAGGATTTAACAAAGAAACTCACACAGTAGTGTTGAAGTACTATCCAGTCCTTTGTATTAATAAAAATGTTCTCCACTTATTGATATGTGGAGAACATTATTTGAAGATGTGTTTTTTTTTTGTTGTTGTTTTTTTTTGTTTGTTTTTTAGATAAAACTCAAACTATACAAAATGTTCATTGTATCTTGATAAAGTTGGAACCTTTCAAAAAGTAATAAATGCCTCGCTAAGTCTAACTATAATTTAAAATAATTAGAACAGTATAAGACAACATTATATTATAATAAGATTGATGATCATAAAGTTTTACAATTCCATCCAAAACTAAATTCGGCAATCTTGGTGTCATATCTGCTTCAGCTGGTGCACATAAACCCACAGAGTTCATCATAAAGGGAATCACTGATTTTAAATTTAACGAAGATTCACACCAAGATTACTGATTATGGATCTGACACTCTCATATACGAAGGTTCAGAAAGCTCTGAAGCAACAAAAGACATGAGAACTTTATCACAGATTCCTACTTTATATAATCAGTCAGTTTTTGATGCAAAATACTCAGCCTTTTTCTTGCTTGATTGCAAACCTAAAGTTTTTATTTCTACTTTATGTAGTTGTAAGGCTGAATGTTAAAATCGTAGCTGTGTGAGCTCTAAAATGTGCATTAGACTCCAAGTATCAGTTAATAATTAACACTCCAACTTGATTCAGTGCGGTGGAGGTCACAACTACAGAGGCAGCAGAGTGACCCCTTCCAGAGGACACCATGTTTCCCACCAAAAAGGTGTGCAGACTTTACACTTTACCAAACACCTAAAGACGACCCAGGAAAAGTTCCCACAAACAGGCAGCTGAGTTGAAGAGTTCAAGACTGGAACAAGTCTCCAAGTTTTCTGTGATGCACTAATAAAGTAAAATGTTTTGTGTGTGTGTGTGTGCTCTGGTGATTGTCCTTCCAACTACTGAAATAAGTTGTCAAAACAATTATGACCAATTTTTTAGTTTCATTTTCAGATAAATTAAATCATTATTATCATCAAACAACCAACTAAAATTATCTCAATTTTTTCATCAATATAATACAATTTCTTGTCAATACCAACTGGAGAAGAACATAAAAATCCCAGAAGCACTGATCCAGGAGTACACTCTATGTAAAAACACACAAAAGCAGGTGAAGCGTTTATGGCCGTAGTGACTCATCAGCATAGAATAGGAATCAGCTTTATTTAGCAAGTTGTGCACACACACAAGGAGTTTGACTTTGGTTCTCCTTTGCTATCAGTAAAGACATTCAAAATATAAATGTGCAAAAAAAAAGGAAAAATTAGAATTAATTTATTTTTTTTGTATGAACATGAATATATAGTTAACTTTAAAAAACAAAGTTCATTTAGTGAATAAGACTATCAGTGAAAATACGCAAGGTGTCAATCTGGGCAATAGAAAAGTTGAATGTTGAAAGACTGGGGGAAGAAACTGTTTTTGTGGCAGCAGATTTCTGAACATATTGCATTGCACATGCAGTTGCTGCAGTGTTTTGGAACAGCTAACAGTAATTTCTTACCTATACAAAATAGTTCAATCAACACAAAACATTTAGGAGTAAAATAAGATTCATTGTCATTTATCGGTGGTATGATAAACCATGAAGGTTGTAATAAGCTGTATGAAGTATTTTTTTTCAGCTGGAGAATTTTTGAATGACACGTTTTGAACGTGTCAGTTACTGTAACTGTTTTTATTTTATTTTATTTTATTTTTTTCACTGATCTGCACCAGTTGAGACGCGGTGGAGACACTGCAGTCGTCGCTATTCTCCATGCTCTCCTTGCGTTGATCTGGTCCGAGTAAAATCCCCTGCGGAAGTGAGTCTCGAGTCAGGAAATTGGTTCTCTGAGAGTTTTCCTTTAACATCTCTCTGATTCACTACTGCTCTTTCAGGACTGGTTTTGCATCTCCCATCTGTCTGGCTTTACCACCTCCGGTGACACTGTGCAGGATGTGAATGGGGCGTTTAGGACTTTGCACTTATCTGTAGGAAGAACTAAACTACAAGCAAAAACACATTTCCAAGAAAAGGTCTTATGTTAAGTTGGATTTCTGTCATTATGCCAGTATTGGTTCATTTACCCATGCACATGTCAGAAATTCATTGAAACTAAAACTTAACCCTGAGATTCAGAGATTGTTTAATTCAGATGAATAAATAATAATAATAATAATAATAATAATAATAATAATAATAATAATAATAATAATAATAATAATAATAATAATAATAATAATAATAATAACAACAATAATAATAATAATAATACGAAGTGAACAAAATTCTTTTGAAAGGCTTTATTGCAATGTTACAAATCACCCAAAAGTTAGAATGTTTGATGAATAATTTAGTTATATATGTCTGTTGGGTATAGAAATGAAAGTCTCTATGCGTGTATGTACAAGAATAACTTAAATGAAACATAAATATCATAATATCATGCACTGTTTGAGTTTAGTTGTGCTCCTTTCCCACCATCTCCTCTTCATCTTCATCCTCGCCTTCTTCATCGCTGCTGGAGTTTTCATATGGGCAGATGGTCGCTTGGATTGGATAGTTCCTCAGGAGCGTTTCGGCATCCCGGTACAGATAGTCAAAACATTTCGACTTTGGCCAGAACAATCTTAAAATAGACATAATATTAATGAATATTACTTATGAATACTTTATAAGGAAAAAAACAAAAGAGTTCTTTAGATTTTTCTTACTTGACTGGATGGATGACTTGTTGAATCTTGGGTTGTGCGCTGGAAATCTCTCCACGCACAAAGCGAGTCTGAAAGTTAAAGCAGAATAAAATGTCTGAAACCATTCTTTTAAAGTATGTTTAAAAGAATTCTGTACTTTCTTTAAAAAGTCTAAAATCACCGCAAATTGGGCAGTTTGGCCCTCAATTTTGTTCCACGGTCTCCACAAGTTGCTCTGCTGAGTTGGATCGTCTCCACCGCGAACGGACGCCAGTCCACTGCAGGCGTCGCTATTCTCCATGCTCTCCTTGCGTTGATCTGGTCCGAGTGAAATCCCCTGCGGAAGTGAGTCTCGAGTCAGGAAACTGGTAGGCTATTTATCATGGCCTGCAGGGAGCCCCGTGCCAAATTGAACTTTGACGAGTCCCAAGTGTCTCCATCAAGCACTGCGTAAAGGTGGGAAGTCACACTTGGCAACAAACGGCCATCTGGTCAGTTTGCTTCATTTCAAATGTCATTTTGAGGGAGAGAAAAAAAAAATCTCCTGAGAGCTTGTAGAGAATACACAACTGATGCCCAAAATTATGAAAAAAATCGCCTCTAATATTTCTATTTGGGCATAAAGCTTTATCAAAGAAATATTATTTATGAATAATTCGTGACATGATTTTTCTTTGGGGTTATTTTTGTTTGTTCAAACAAGTTTGCATTTTATATGTTTGAGTTTCGACATTTGGTATGTTATGATCTCTTTATCTGAGCAGCCATTTGGGTGTGAGGTGTGAACAAACACGTGCCGAATCAGATTCAGAGGACGGAGGAAGGCTCGTGCACAGCTTAAAACGTAAGAGGTGGGGGTCGGCACGCGCCAGCCTTTAACACTTAACAGACGGACGCAGGTCATCATAGTACCTCAGCAAATGCATTTCTGTCCCATATGGCAAACCTTTGGTTATATTGCTGTTTAGAAAAAAAAAATCGTAACGCAGCTTCTATTTTGCAGAGCGCTGACTAATCAGCTGCCGTCAACATTAGAAATGTGCAGCCGTGCACCAGCAGGGGGTAGCGTGGAGCTGTATCGAAAATATCCCACAGATTTCTGCATGCAGTGCCGAACACTCAGGTGTCTTGGAGTAGAGTTGGCTCCACTATTATGTGTGGCTTCTCTCATTTGACTCCATTCACAATTAATGGGTGATGCATTTGCAAGCATCACTTGTCACAGCAGTTGGTCTGCTTAAAGGTGAATCATGCATGACCAGGCTTAAATTTCTTTGCCCACCGGTTCTTTCGATATCACAGAATCCGTGAGAGAGAAAAAAAGATCTGAATTTGGTGCTAATAAGGTCCACATAGATTCCTTCGTTCCCTTGGTCTCTGTTGCAGCTTTGGTGCTAATTGGTCACCCGGGGCTCTTGCTGACTTCAAGAGTCATTCCTCTGGTTCACTTTTTGCAGCTGGATCAGAGAAAGTTTATATTATTTGTATGACAAGGTTTTATTGGAATGGTGTTTAGACAGACAAAGGTTTTATATATTTGCTTATTTGTCTCCTGCAATGTATTTCAAATAGTTTGCTTGAGGATGCAAATAAGCCACTGTAAGTGAGGTGTACTAGAATATATGGTACAGAGTAAAAGGTACACAACTTGGAATTATATAGATCTTCATATATCATGTCACAATAGCATAAGAGGAAGGATGTGCTTATCTTTCTAAGCACATATTTCTTTCTTTCTTTCTTTTTTATATAGACTACACTGATGTACTATTCAGCTATGGCTGCCAAGTCTTGTGATGTACAACTAGGCACTGATATTTTTGCCCATTTCTTGTTCTATAATAGCTACAAATCAGTCACATTGGATGGAAATATGTTTATGAACCAGTTTTCAATTTTTTCACAGATTCTCAGTTTGATTTAGACCTGAACTTTGACTAAAATATTCTAAGGCCAGTCCAGTCACTTTAGTTATTTGGCTGTTGCATCGTAGTGTTGCATTTGTACCAAACACTTTCCATATGAATAAGATTGGACAGTGCTCTGTGAGATGTTTAAAGCTTGTGACGTTGTTTTATAACCTTATCCTGATTGAAACTTCTGCATAACTTCATCCCTTAACTGTTTGCTTGTTCTTTACAGAACATTTGTTTCTCAGCATGTATTTAAATGCTGCAGATGCTGAAGTTTTCTCTTGTCTGAAACCTTTTTTTCCTCTCACCTCACAACCATAGTCTAGCTTATGTTGGCTTATCACATAACAGCTTTTTGCCATACCTTAGTTAGTGATTGCAATATGAAAAAATATGGAAATCTTCCAGAGGTATGAATACTTTTTCAAAGATTAGTGAACAGTAAAGAAAAACATGCTGCAGACTGGTTGTCTAGGCAGACTCTGTTTTTCTTATTTCTTATTTCAGCCAGAAATATAAGATAAGTCGATTCTAATTTCTAAAGTTTGTGATTTTTCATTACCGAGCTCAATTTCTTTTTTGTTGTTGTTTTTTCTCTTTCCCTTTTTGTGCAATATCTAATTTCCAAAATACGAAATAAGATGAATAATGTTGCATTTTACAGTCTACTTCATGTAATTTTGTTCTCTAGGTTTTATTCAAAATCCAGGAAATGAAGCATATTCTTTATTTAAAACAATTCTATTCGAAGATGACCTTTGGAGTTTTTACAACTCAATGGCCACATTAAGACATAACAAAAATTTTGTAAAGAGAACTCTACATGACTGGATCAAAATGTAATCCTTTTTTTGTATATTCCCTGTGCCCTTTGTGAGTTTTTTTCAGTGGCATGTTTTCTATACACATCGAGAGGGTGAGTGAAAAGAGAAGTGGAGAAAATAAATGGGAAATATGTGCCAGATGAGAATGAGGGTGAAATAAAGGCTCTTGTTAAGACCACAGAAATCACTGCCCACCACTGGATTTACATGCAAAATAAGAAACAAAATAACAATGATAATAATAATAATGAAAAACATTCATCATGGAGCTTTCTGGCAATCCAAAAAAATCAGTTAATGGGTTCAAGGCTGAACCCATAAATTGGTAAAGAAAAATTAAGATGGAGTAAGAATGGTGGATTAGCTTCTGGTACACAATTTGACAGCATTAGAATAATGTTCCAGCATAACCTTGCTTGACTTGATCATCAGAATGTGCATGTTTGTGGGTGTTGCAATGTTATTCAATTTGTCATTGTTGCGAGGTCCGTACCACGGAATGCTTTACTGTCATCATTTAATGAGCTGAATGGCTTTCAAGAATTTTCTTGAAATTAAAAGGGTACATGTAGCACATAAAAAATAAATATCCTTCAGCATTAATATTTTAACAAAAATGCATAAACATGCATGAAATAATATTTTTGTTCTTGAATAATATGTAGCATTCATCAATGTAATACAAAATGAGTGTAACCATGTTGTTAAAGCATCAAATAAATTTAAATCTGATATCTGAGACTTTCAATTTTATTTGAGAGGAATGTGAATCAACGTCCATTGAACAGCTTAGGGGAAATTCACAAGACTAGATATTGCAAAGGACACAGTTGTTGTATTTCTTGTGTTGTGCTCCTCCTAAGGAATGTTAATGTGCTTTCACAAAAGTATCTATGGAAGATGATAAATGTTTTTATTAATTATTGAAACAACTAAGTTTTTCAAATTATAATTCACTGTTAAAATGCTTGCATTCAATACAGAAAGAGGTTTGGTCTCAGTTTATTCCATGTCATAATGATAACGACCTTTTCTATCCATATTGTAGTATTTTTCTTGTTAATCCTGGCTTAAGAGAGCAAACATTCCTCCATGGCAGAAGGAGGGATACACACCTAATTCATTCAGGGAGGACAACATGCTCACTCATACACCCTGCTGCCTCCAGCTTCATGTTGATCTTGAATTATTTGCTTAGCCCCTCCAAAGCTTCAGTATTGATTTTGTCTGTTATAAACTTGTTCTTCTTTGCCTCTATTCCAAAATAAAGCCTGTTTACAGGTTTCTTTCCAAAGTTTTAAGCTGTTACAAATATAACCAATTTACTTTTTGCTAAGCCTTTGTAGTGAGACGTGGGGTATGCATAAGATTATGCATTTGAAAGGGTTCATCTTTCTAAAATTTCTGCTTAGTACTCAAAATTAAATATGGCATGGGAAAGTGATCTGTATTTCATTGTCAGTTCATATCATTCCAAAGATTTGAGATTGGACTGAAGGTTTATCTTCCAGCAGAACAAATACCTTAAACACAAACAGAGCTGCAATGGAAAAACATTAATTTAATCATATATCTAAATGTCCCAGTCAAAGTTCAAACCTTAAGCCAATTGGGAAATTGTGGAAAAAGTTAAAAGGTTAAGTTCACAGATGTTCTCCATCCAATTTAATGTAGAAGGGGTCAACATTTGTTGTCTCTATTTTACACTATTTCAAGTATTAAAAAAGCCCAATGAAATTTCTAGTTTTAAGCAACAATATGTTAAAATGTTTCAGGTTATTGAATAATTTTCTAATTCATTCTACATGGTGATGAGCTATAGAACGTGATAATGCGAGCACAATTGAACATTGATAACCACATTCTACATTCTTTGGATTTCTCATAAATAATAAAGATTTTGTTCACACAGCAAAGTTATTGGAGGCAGCCAAAAGGAACTTTTATAAATTCATTTACATTATCCCACGTATTATTTTTCTACTTTCTAATACAAAAACCTATGAGTTTATCACTATTCATTAGAAAATGAATAGTGCACTTTACTTCCTGTATTTGGGGGGCTGTATTTGGGGGGCTTTTTTATGTGTCATATCTACAAACATTATCAAATGATCAACAGCCAGAAGCTCACAGGAAGTTAATAAAAGGAAGAAAAAAGGCACCTACTGGCTGTTTAATAAAACCTATTTAGTATTCAGATTCTCATCCTCAAAGAGCTGCAGTTCAAAAATGATTCATGATCTGATTCAAAATTAGTATGTGATCTGACGTCACGAAGCACTCAAGAATACTGTAGCACACACAAACATGTCTTAATATAAGTTTATATGAGCGTCCCGAATGGCAGCGGCGAGGTCAGACTGAACCAGATCCCAGTTTAATTGAAGACTGGAGTGTTCCCTTGGAAACCACTGCAAGTTGTATTGTAAATAAAGGCTCCAGGAGAAAAAAGCTTCAGAGAAAAATATTAGGAAACAGAGAAAATGCTGATAATTCTGTGTCCAATGTTAGGTAATCTATTTAAAAGCCCTACATTGATGTTGTTAAAGGCTTTCTGTATACCAGTCACTATCTGTAATTTAAAAGAAAGAAATAAACACCCTAGAGCAAGGGGAAGAAGACAACGCCCCATCCATCTTTACGCTCTGCTTGGGGATTAACTTCTGTGACTGCTTCGCCTTTGTTGTGACAAAAAGAGAATGCCAATGCATTGAGAATCAGAGCACATGTCCTAAAGAAATAAAAGAAACAAAGAAAAAGATAATCTATAAAGCTGATCTTGCAGACAAACGTAAAGCTGCATAAAACCTTTGTGTGAAACCTTTCTAAGTTAGTGACTTTATGCTGTTGTACTGGAGTATAAGCAGTGAGTTGTCTTAGCATAAAACACGTGAAGGAAACGTGTGGATGTAAAAAATAAAAGTAATGATGGAAAGAAGAACAGCAGCTGAGCTTGTCAAATAAAGTCTGAGTTCCCCTTAATTTTTATCCTGAAAATGCATTCCATGTTGCAGGAGGGCAGATGCTGAATATCAAAGAGTTTCTCCTCGTATATGTTTGGGTTCTCGAGTGTTTTTCACCTCAGATAAGACAGAGAGGTGGGTGGTAGTAGCTCAAAGCTCAGGTAAATATGTGATCAGAATGTTTGCCATTATTATTTGAAAACGGGGGAAAGAAAAGTAAATAAGGATCAGCAGAAGAATTTGTACTGACTCCCAAAATCACTCTATACACATGCAAATGACTGAATCTGATTTTGAATCGGATCATGAATGAGAGTGACTGTTGAAAGCTTAAAGGAGTTTTCTGTCTTTGAGTTGTTAGATACACCTGAAGTAGTGAGTCTTGTGCCGGAGGTCAGATTCATTTAAATGCATCGCAGATCTGAAGGAGTTTCACTTATAATCAACATGGACTCTTGTGCTTCAAGAAAGATTAATAATAGATGATGGTTATCATCGCACGATAATGACAGGGTGAGACCATAACTGGAGGGTACAACCATGCCACACCACCACTGGAGCACCACAAAGGTTGTGTGCTGATTCCGTTTCTATGAACACTATAAACTAATGATTGCCTCATCTCTTCACCAACTACATCATTCCACAAAAAGCAAACTGACACAACAATCACCACACTGCTACCGCATTAACACCATCAAACAGTTCACACTTTGGTGTAAAGACAAACATCTTTATCTTAATATCCGACATTCACCCTCCCACGACTCAACAGAACATTTCTAAACTTTTCTGCTTGGGAGACTTGACATCCTGACACGCTATGGATAACATTAGCATTGTATGTAAGTCAATTAAACAGTAGTGTAATGACAACACAAACAGCATCAACATGTCATGCAAAATAAACACAGAGTCAACTAGCAGTTTGCCCATTTGGTAAAATAATATGATGTGAAACAGATGTTTTTCTCAGTTAGCAATAAAGACTGTCCAAAAACATAAAGAATTTCATTAACATTTGTGATACAACGTTTTTAATCTTAGGGAAAGAAGCAAATGATAGTTAAATGTTTAGTCGGATGAATGACTTGTTTGGATTCATGGTACTTTTTTTAACTCATTTGGATGACATTTCTTGTAAATGAGAGAAATCTTTAGGATGATTCATTTTGTTTGCATTAAGCACCTATTTATTAACTTAGGCTCAGAAGCAGGCTCGGCTCAGGGTAGCAGATTGGAGCCTGGGCAGCAGTTCAAAGGGATGATATTCATCTTTGGTGACATCATAGTTTCAGGTTTACACACAAAAAAGCAAAACAATACAGGTATGACATAGTATATTTTCTGGAAAATGTATCTCACCAATCCCATCAATAATAAAATTTAACCCACACAGTCACATACAGATATATGTAATATTGGCATGCTGTAATGGAAATATAGCCTTTATCCATTCAGACAATACAGTCTTCTTTTGCAGGTATGCATTTCTTGGTAATGCAAAAAGCTCTTACATCTATCTGCAAAGCATTTCAGTTTTTACTGCAAGAAACCATTAGGTGCCCTCTTTCTGATCAAAGCATGTCAAACACCGGCTGAGTAAACAGCAGAACATCTTCCTGAGATCACTTTGGCTATAGCAGAACAAAGCAAGAGACCAAAGAAAATCCCACAGGACAGCTTTTAGAGATGAGTTATTTATTAAGACATGCATTATTGATGCTCTGGCAAATATGAAGTAAAATTGAAAGGTACGGAAGCTCTGATTCAGCCCATTGACACAAATAATAAAATTGATACTGAAAAAAGACAAAATATCTTGGGTGTCCTTATTACTACATGTTTGGCATCTTATATAATTTTAGAGTAAATATACTAAACACAAATGTCTGTGTTATTACTCAACACAGGCATTTGGATAATATATATTTAAAAAAACATATAAATATCTTTATGCAACTACTTTTTCAAATAAGCTCTTGACAGGACTCTTTTATTAAAGATATCTTATAAGAAAAAAACTCATCAAGCATTATTATTACATTTAAAAGGAACATTATTTATGGAAATTGTGATAAATGAACAATAACTTGTTTGGGTAAATGGTAAACCTTGAACAGGAACCAACTCGTTTTGACCTGAGTAACCTGGCCTTAGAAACATTTTAGAAACATGCAGAACCCAACAGCCAAAACAATGTTTCTTCAAAAGAGTCTGTCAGGCATTTAATATTTTTATTTTTAGAACTAATGTACAATTCATGCCAGATTAAATCTACAGAATGAATTAAAATTTATGGGGTCAAACTTTGCACTTGATTTATAAAACTATAGTGTCTCAGTAAAGTTTAGAAATTTAGTTGGATTTCCTGGAGCAACCCAACATTTTTCTTAACAAAACTTTACTTAATAATTCAAAACTGCTTCTTGTTTTGTGAAAAATATTTGTACCTCAGATTCTCCTCTGTGTTGTTCCTGATCGTACCACCAAGTGGAGCAGCATTTTAAACTGAGGTAGCCAGACATCCTAAGAAACATCCTAAAGGATATGAATGAATGAATGAATGAATGAATGAATGAATGAATGAATGAATGAATGAATGAATGAATGAATGAATGAATGAATATTTGCATAGGACAGAATAGATTGTTTATCTGTAGAAATAAACGAGAAAGACACACAGATGGTTCTGTCAGTACAGGTTGATTTTAATTTTCATGATGTGGATAGTAGTGAATTACTGCTGCACAGCTGGAAGAGAAGAACCTCTTCTAAAAAGACATCTCAGATATCTTAGGAAAGCGGTGGCTATCACTAAGCTTGTTGACTTAAATGAAGTTCTTCAGAATGATATGATGAGAGCTTTTAAAAATTTGTCTCATTGTGTCCATTTGAGAAAAAAATCAGTTATAAGCACACCATCCCATTTGATTTCTTTTCTTTTCTTTAGAGCAAGCAGGCATTTCAAGGAAGTTGTTCTAGCATTGTAGTCAACCTCTTACAAAGCTGCAGCAGCAAAATTTCATGATCAGTTTATTTACTTTTTGCTTCTGCTTTTGTTATTTTATTCTTTTTCCTCCAAATGTTTGTGTTGTTCTACAGAGGGTAGTTTTTTTGTTTTTGTTTTTTTTTTGTCTGTAACTCCTTTTTGCTTATGTATTTATTCTGATGAAAAAAAAAACATAGAAAATCCAATATGTAAGACATGGTGGTCCTGTTATGGTTGGGGGAGCCCAATGAATAATTCTTGAGTCATAATTACATATAAAGCCAAACAGATAGTTCTCATTTCATGACATCCTCCATAAAATCTCTGCACACTTCAATCTCTGCCAGCAAGGTTCAAACCTGTGACGTCAGAGCTCATAAACAGAGCTGTTAACTGCGCTCGACAATGGAGTCACCATGTGAAAATATTTTTTAAGCATATCTTTATACAAATTCCTTACATTTTTAATTAAAAGTTCTACAATTTCTATGTTCTGTATGTGCCATGAGGTCAAGATTGAGATGTATAGAATAAAGAGCGCCTCCTGCAGTCACAGTAGCGACACAACAATCCCTCAAAATGTAAGCATGAAAATAACTTTTTTTCTTTTCGTTTCTATTCTGTTTCAGATTCAAATTTCCACAAACGTGTATGACCACAGACATGAAAAACTGCGTGCAATTCAATTTGTTGATATGTGTTTTTACGCAAAATCAAATCACCATATTTGTTTTGCTGTTTGTTTGTTTTGTCATTATTGACTTCTGGCGAAAACATCCAAATCTGAAAATCTGCACTAATCCATGCAATAATTCGCTATGCGTATATACTGATTAAATTTTAAGAACACTAAGAAAAAACTATAGTTCCAATGTTACATTTTTTTTATAACAGCGGCACCACGAGTCTTTACTACTGTGCAAACACAGTTTTCTCAACCACACAGAGAAAACTGTGTGGTTGAGAACGACACTGTTGATTGGAGAACATCAGTTTCTTAGAACACATTTGCGGCGTAATATCTCCGTTCCCAGAAGTGCGCCACCAGCCCAGAGCTGTTGGATAAGATGATGCGCACTGAGAAGCTCTCCAAAAGGCTGCTGCCTCACTCCCAGAGCATGACGATGGGCAGAGTTTTTGAGTAACGCCATGGATTTCCACGTTGAGGCTCAAATCGTGAATGCTCTGTAATGGACTTTCAGCCCAATATAAAATCCTGCAGGATTTTTTTTCTTTTTTTTTTTTTAATCATCGACATTTTTTTTAATTGACGGTGTGAATTTGTTTTTGTTTTGTTCTCCTTTTTTAACCACAGAAATGTTCAGCATATCTGGGAAGGGGGTTTTGCCAACTTCATGGACTCAATAAATCCGCGTTTGCGTGGCTTCTGTTTTTTCATGGACTCGTCCTCAGCTGTAAAGGTTCGTAAAATTGTTTGAAATGTCCGACTTCCACAACCGAAGCCAAGTCAACGCACGACGCAGTGACTACGTCTGGCAGTACGAGTATTACGAAGACGAGGAGCCTGTCTCTTTTGAGGGACTTAAAGCGCACAGATGTAAGCTTCATTCTTTCCTCTGGTTTTGTTGCACTAATTTTTCCTCGCATTAAGGCTATTTGAGCCTTTTGTGCACTTTAATTTAATTATGATCCATTAGACCTTTATTGGGGTCCATTATCATTTTTGCTTTTGCTGAAGGCTGACCTCTCATGCCTGCTTTGCACTAACATTATCTGCAAGCAACGCTTAATGTAGCAGTTTTCTTCTGTTTCTTAGATAATGATCAAAATACTTAAAGAGACATCATTGTGGTGGTAAGCAAGTCAGCTACTGCATTCTATTCAGGTTTTGGAAAAATATAATAATGCTCACATGGGAATCATTAATTAAGGATTGTGAGAACTAAATGGCTAAATGGGATTTAAACAAATTAACCAAATGACTGTCTTCTGTTATCTTTCAGACTCCATTGTCATAGGCTTCTGGGTGGGACTCGCAGTTTTCGTCATTTTCATGTTCTTCGTTCTCACGCTGCTCACAAAGACTGGAGCACCGCATCAGGAGTGAGTGTAGAAAAGCAGCATTATCAGTGTTTCCCATTTTTACTTTCAGCCTTCTAATAGGGATTGAGTCAGCACGGAGGTGAGGTCAAGCTATTCAGAGCTGACCTTTTCATCTCTGAGCTGTATGAGGGGCAGTTTTCAGAAGGATTTAGGACTGAGACGGCCACGAAAGAACATTGAGCTCATTTTGCCAAAGCAATTTTTTTATTGTTTCTTTGATCATGTATTTTACATCAGTATTCTTTTGAAGGACGTTCTAAATATACATTTTTATTTGAATGCAAATGGAACTGGATTTTCAATTTAAAAATAGTACCTAAAGAATAATGAATTTGAAGCACACCTTAGAAATAATGATTCAGCCAAACTTTGCTATCGAGATTTTGCTCGATATTGACGATAAGTTGATATGTTCTTCAGCTGTAAAATTTAGCATCTGTTTCATGTTAAAATCTCAATCTGAGCAAATCAAACAGATCTATGTAAAGTTTTAATAAAGTTTAACACATTTCTCTGGCATCATCCCCAAACAACAGGCTTTAACATGGACTCTAATGGTTATTTTAGAAACTTAGTGACCTTAAATATGCCACTGGCTGTTGCACTCCACAAATTTAAGCTTAATTAGTTTTTTTTTACCCTTCTGCTTCTATGTGATGTACTGCTTGCTTGCTTGTTCAGTCAAGGGAGCAGTTTGCATCAGTGTTTTGTACCATGTAAGCAAAGTAACAAAATGTGTCTGTGCACCTGGCTGATGTTGCTCGAGCTGGTGGTTGATTTGCTGCTTTAATTGGTCCCGGATTAAGGGATACTTCACTGAATCTGGATTGAAATAGATCCTTTCTAGTTGGAAGTGCAAAATACTTTTATTCGTCAAACATTAAATCAAATTTTTTTGCACTGAAGAGAGAACTTTGGGTTCACAAAATCTTTGTTACATTCATTAAAACACAAACAGGAGGATCTTTAATGTTTTTTTGTTGTTGTTTTAGCAATAGGACTAGTTTAGGCTAATTCTAACAATACAGCACAAGAATTATTCAGGCTATTTTTTAACTTATCTTCCTTGTGAAGAGCAGAACAAGCACCAGATAGATCTATATTGGTCAGTATTATGCTAATTAGCATAAGTTGTTTGATTGATTTTTTTTTTTCTAGTATTTGTAATGGTGTGTGCTTTGTGTGCATGAAATGTAGGAGTTGAGAGGTGCAGAAGGAAAGACTTGCGCAGGGCAACATTAATGTGAGAACCATCTCTTTTGGACTTTGAAAACAAATCAGGATTTCCAATCCAGCTTAGTGGCTAAAATAAATTAACTTCTGTTATGTCGCATTCACAGTATTCCCCCAGAGAAAAACAAAGTCATTGATAACAGCATAGAAGTTCCTAGAATGTCTGATCAATAAATGCTCCACTTGCATTTATTTTCAAGGAATTGGTTGAACCTGCCACCACTGTGCCACTGGTGATTTTGCTAAAGACAAGAATTTTATTAATAGGATTTTTTTGCTGTCTGAAAAATGTAATAACAGAAAACAGTGTTCTTCTACACAGCATGGCATAATGGTAAAGTGTGGAAAGCAGAATGACTTTATCTCTTCCTCTCTGTAAAGATGAGTGGAGCTTTATGTCAAGCAATAAAGATTACTGAGAACTCACAAATTAAAATGAGATGACAATAATCCAATATCAAGTTGAGAGCTTTTTACTCAGCTATGAAGAAAACAACACCCCTTCCCTACTTCTGTCATAACCTCATAAAAACTACACCACAAACTTGACAAATCATCCTTATAAAGCAGACAAGATACAGCAAGACAAGTACAAATATATTTGAATCATTTTAAGTAATGATGGCATTTCAAAAATCTCAAGTTATTAAAGCTGTTCTCGTGTGCAACATTGCTCACAATTTCTCTTTGATTGTTCAAACAGAAACCCAGAATCGGGGAAGAACCGGCACCGACCAGAAGGCTGTCTGGTAGACATGAATGGCCATCAGGATGATAATGACAAAGCTTTCTCCCGCCCGCTGTTAGAAGGCTCCCGTTCATACTTTAATTTCTACATCAATGAGGAAGATCAGGCCCATGAGAAACAGAAACAGGAAGACAAAAGGAGCTCTGCAAAAGACAAAGCTCGAAGACTACAGCGCTCTGCTGAAATAGATGAAATGGACGAGGACATTGAGGGAAGCGTGGGGCACCAACCTCTCAATGGACTCGTTGAGAAAAGTAAGTCAGACAGAGAGTGTGCTTTCCTGTCTCACTTCAGCATCCCAAACTTTGTGAACTTGGATCATGGCTCCACACTAGGAGAGGACGATCTGCTGTATGAGCCATCCGTCATCCTGGAGCGTCAGTCTCAAGCTCACAACAGTCACTGTGACGGCCACTAAAGCAGACCCCTACAGTGGTCCTCAATCCGGCGCCGTGGACAGGTCCATGGACCAATTGGTACAGGTCCGCACAAGAAATAATTACATATTACCGTTTTATGTATTATTTGAGTCTGAAGGGTCTTTTATTTGGAAAATCCTTTAACCGGATCATCTCTTATTTTGAAGGGATATGTAAACGTTACCATTGCGGCCAGAGTCAGAGAGCGTTAGTGCAGTGGTCGAGATGAGATGAGAGGAGCCCCACCCCTACTCCCCCATGCTTCGGCCGCAGCAAAATTGCCAAGTCTTGACCGGTCCGCTGTAATAAAAAGGTTTGGGACCACTGTTGTAACCTAAATTGGTTTACATTCAGAAGCACTTTAATACGGGCAGAGGGAAATATATGCACCTGCCACTCCTGTCTTTCTGTAAAAGCTTTCAAATTACTTTTTAGTGTTTTCTAAAAAAAAAAAAAAAAAAAAAAAAGAGAGAGAGAAAAAGAAAGCCAAGAGGTTGGAAGGCATAGCTTGTAAAAGCAAATTCAGAGTAACAACATGAGTTTCCCTCCAGAAGAAGAAATTGCCTTGGAAATGATACCTGTTATTTCAAGTACTGTGAGCCTGAATTGGATACAGCTGGGCTGCATCCAGACTCTGCACGAAAAAAAGAGAAATGAAAGACAAGTGGGGTTCACTGGGGAAGGATGCGTTGGGGAAATTATTATGCTATTCTTGTTGTTTTTGTTATACTGTAAGATTGTGAACAATGGGTCTGTCTCTGGATGAGAGTCAGAGGCAAGCTGGTCATTTAGGAAAAACAGCAACATAAACTCAGAGTTCTTTGTTCTAAAGTCAAATACCGTTAAAAAAGCGGAAATGTACCAACTGTACGCTTCATAGCACTAAATGAAAATCACTGTTGTTTTGGTTGGATATATGTAAACCTCACATATTAACAAGAAATACTGAATAGAGATTAAAGACTGTTTTAAGTTTGTGTGGTGCAGCCTTATTTAACAACAAAAAGTGAAATTCATAACTGCTAATGACAAGTTCACTAATAACTTAATGAAGACAGTTACACTTCACTTTGGACATAATGTAACTTTGCATTGTTGCAGGTTGAGACTTCTGTCAACTCATTTATGTGATCATTATTATTCTCTAGTATTTTTTCATTCCCTTTTCTACTCCTAAGTAAACTAATCTACCAAATAAGTAATATTACAATAACATTAACCAAATTAACTGCGGATGTCAACATAACAGCAGCAGCAGCTAACTCATCACTGTGAAAGCACAAGAAAACATATAAAGAATCTTGCTATGAACACTAAGACTGCATATGTTGTTGAGTCTTTGGATTGATTTTATCAGATATTTAAAACCTTGTGACTGACTCTATAAGTTCATTGTCTATATAAATAGGAGGATCTATTTTTTCTAAAATCTCTGGACATTTTGTTAGGTTTGCTCAGGTTTAGGAGAAGATTGTGTTGTTCACACCAGTTAAGAAAGAAAATCTGAAAAGGCAAAAGTCCTCTTCTTTGCATAAAAAGATTAAGCAGGAATGTCATCTGCATACTTAAGTATCCATTAGAGAGCATCATTTTGTATTAAAAATCACATGAATTTCATTAAAAATATTTTTTTTTTGTTAGTCTCAAATTTATACGCATCTTTCTATTGATATCTGTCCAACTTTCATTTGTGGTTTCCCTAGTTTAATGTTACATCCCTGTGTTGCTCTTCAAGTCAACTCCTGAAGCAATCTTTGCCTCCAAAGGATAACAGATTCCAGTCCATCTTGGACCTTCAGAGCCATCACCTCCTTGTGGCAAAGAACTTTAGCTGCCCTGCAACTTTGATCCTTCAGTCATTGCCTGTCTGCAGTCTCTCTTTCTCTCAGACCTGCGCCTCCTAGAAAGAATCACCAATATGAAACATAATAGTTTCCTCCTATGAAGCCAAATTCATCACTTGAACCAGTATGCTCCCACAAACCTTAATTTGTTCACCTGGTTCCAACGTCTTCCATCATTCTTAAATTATGTCAAAGACGACAGACTGAACTTCTGAAAGAGGGATAAAGAATGAATACCCATGTTTAAAATGCTAAACTTATCAGATAATTTCTCTGGAAAGGTAAATCCACAGCTTAGCAAACAGAGGGTTTCCAAATGCCTGTTTGGAATCTGCGGAAAGACTTGAAATAATTATGAGACGGGTCCCAACAGTCGAGTGCCAGAAAACAGCCTCAGGAAAGAACAGGTAAGAAATCATCTCCATCAGAAGCCATCAGGTCTCTTGGCATGAAAGAACTGCCATCGAAGGCTTTTGTCTCCCCAGTGAGTTTACTGAGTCTAGAAGGGTGTAGGATGTTTGCATGCTCAGAACCCAAAAAAATAAAATAAAAAACAGTGTTGAAGAAGATTTTGATGAATGAGAAAATGAAACCTGTACTGAGACATTCTTTGAAGAGGAAAAAGTAACAGTGAGAGAATTACTTTTGGCATGTGTTGAGATTCATTTCAGTTTTATTAAAAGGTTTCAAACATTTTATTTCGACAAAAAAGAATTCAAACAATTTTAGGAGCAGTCTTTGAAATAAAAAAACTATCTTCAACATACCTGAAGGCATTTTTCAGCATTCTGTGGAAGAATAAAGTGTTTACATCTTTCTATATGTAAGGATGTTCAAGGTCAGTCTTTGAGCTTTTCTCTACGCTACAAGTATTCACCAAAGATTATTATTTCTAATGACCATTATTGGATTCTATTTCTAGTTTGAGCTTTTGCTGTAAAATTGTCAGACATTTTAGATTACCAACCACAGGCAAGAATGTGAAGGTGCCCATTACCTGTTGAAGTAATAAGAGCACAGAGCAGACAGACAAAATACTAGAGAAGTCAAAAATAAATTTTTCCCTGTGATATTGTGCCAGGAACTGGTTTAACACCTTTGAATTGAACTGAATAGTGTTGAAGATTTTTAAGTTTGGATTCAATGCCAATAATCCCAATATTTCTTTTCTTTCTTTCTTTCTTTTTTTCTTCTCTAGACGTTTGTTCTTTAAGTTTGAATGAAAATTACATTGAACACTTACCTCATTGCTGGCAATGATTAGACTTGACAGATGAAGTCAAAAACAAAAACACAGAAACTTAAGGCTGTTCTTTATTAATGTAGGATGATTTTCCCCAGTCAAAACAAATTAAAACTGTTTTGAGGGATATTCAGTGACGATTATGCAAAAGTACATTGCTTCTCATCATAACGACTCATCAGAAAATATGCAAGCCTCATACACAATATTTCTTAGATGGAAGGGTGTGCAGGGAATGCCAGACAGCCCATCAAAGCTGATGTGGCACCAACTCAGCCAACTCATTCTTTGATTTGGCTGAGTCGGCCAACAAGGAGCCCATTAAATTCAATTTGAGAGATAACAAATAATGACCTTTGCTGATATTTTCTCTGATTTATTGAAAGGCATTCAGTAGGGAACAGACAGAGCAGATGTGCATTAACGCTCAGTGTGAATGCAGCTTCTGTGTTCCTCTTTCACACAAAACTCACCTCAGGGAACAACCTATTCTTTAACTACTTTGCAGCTTCATCACATTGTAGTAGCACTTAATCATTCTCTCTCCCATTCTCTGTTCACCTCGCAGCTTTCAAGAGGTAAAAAGAAGAAGATGAATCAGAGAACCAACACGCTATTAAAGCTGTGGCATGTAGTATTCCAACATTCTTGGAATAGATCATCACAAACAAGACTGCAAGTAATGCCTATGTCACTAAACGTAGCTGCTCATTGTCAGAACCAGTGCAGAATACCAAGCTCCCTTGTTTATTCCCTCCTCTGACAAAGGCAGAGCTCTGAAACAAAACTCTGCAGGTAGCTTCAAGCTACGGGCAGCGGATCAGACTACAAAGAGTAGTGCTGAAAACAAACAGGTCAGTATGTAAAGTCATACAATATCGGCATAAATACTTCTTGACTTTGACACCCTCGAACAAAACAAGAGGCATGCTATACATGAGAGAAGGGCTTGAATCATTTCAGAAATTAATCACTCTTTTCATCACAAGAAGTGTTTTCCAGCTTTGAATGTCAGAACTTCAAACTCAAGCCGTGCACACATCCACTGCGACGGTTGCTGTGGTGATGCAAGACTAAATGGCTGGGCAGAAACAGAAAAGAGCAGCAGTGAATCACATGTTTTCTTTACTAAGAGACTGAGGGGGCATTCAGTCAACTGTGTCCACTGAGTGGGCTCAGAGATGAGAAGGTGGAAGGTCATTTGTGGGGACTCAGAAGAGAAGACTGTCCTTTGCTGTCTACTTTGTTTGCTATGCAAGTTATCAGACTGTCCTTCCTGGTGGTCCTACATAATATTGTTTTCTCCAAAAATTTAATTAAACTATGGTTTTATTTTGCACTTTCTTGCAAATGCATCATTACTTCTTGAACTTTCTCATGTCTTGTCACATTACAAACCTCAAACAATTCGCTTATGTTTTAAGATAAACCAAAACAAAGTGTTCCATAATTATGAAGTGAATGGAACAAAATGCTTTGCTTTCAAATTGTAAAAAGGATAGCATATATCTTTTACCACTTGAAACAATATTTTTAAAAAGCACATTTCGCTACACCACACCAGATTTGTACATTTGGAGACTGAAACATTTCACAATATTCTTGTAAAATAACTTCACTTTGGAAATCATCTGCAAACATGAATTGCCACAGGTTCTCAGTTTGATTTAGCTCTGATGTTACCTAAGGAATTCAGTTCAGTGTGATGTGAAATGATCACAAGTAGCAGTTTGTGCATATGACAAATAATTTATTTCAATCTAAAGGGAACGGCTACTTTCACATATTTTCTATGTCTTTGTGGTAAAATTTAAACAGAGCTTGCCAATCTTTCATAAAGAACTGAACTGCGGATATTTGCAGATACTCCAGAGGAAACATGAGGCTCTTGGCTGCCTCTTTAATTCATGTTTTCCCTGTTTGGTGTGTCAACTCAGGTGAACCCTGTATCCATTTCCTTTTGATTTCAGAGCTATGAATTGCTTCGTGTTGATTTTATTGTTACAAAAGTTGGAATACTTGAATGTATTAAAATTATAAATGCATCAACTGGCAGGGGCAACATGGTTCAGTAAGTTTTACTTGCCTGTTTTTTTTCCTGTGGAGACATCGACTCCGCGTTTGCATTATAACCACAGTAAACCATGTTTTCTATGCATGGTATAGAGACATTAGATCAGTTACACAATAAAACTTTAGTTTTAATTGTTTCACGAAATCTCCCCAAGGCATCTTAAAATTGAATGTATAGTCATGATGAAAATAGGCAAGACTTACTATCCTTAGAACACCATCCTTTAGGGTGGCAGCTTCATGTTTTGTTGCAGTTCAGCTGCAGGAGAAACTGGTGCATCTCTCTGGTGGCATCATGAGGAAAGTATGTCTGGTAGAAATATTAAAACATCTCAGGAAATCAGCAGTGAAATTAAAACTTAAGTGCAAATAAGTCTTCCAATTGGATACTGACTTTAAGCAAAACACTAAATCAGTTACTTAAGGACAAGCTACTCTATGTTTCAGAGCAGCATCACAAAACTCTAATCAGTGTATGAAAGTAAATTTTTAGGCAGAGCCAAAAGGAAAGCTGTTAATGTTTGCCATTAACAATATTGAAAAACATGAAAATATGTTGTCATTATTATGGCTTTTAACAAATACAAAAACCTATTGTAATCCTAATTGATCAAAAAGTTAGGACAAAAAACACCAAAAACATTAGCTGATTTGACATATAGGAAGATGCTTTTTAGCCCTCTCAAATTCAAACACTAATAATATTAAAATACTGTTATGTGATCTTGGTATCTTGAGGAGGGAGGAAAGGAGAAGTCAAGAAGAGATGAGACAGTCAAAGAAGGACACTATAAAAGGAATATATAATAAACTGTCT